CGGCTAAATCGCCCGCTAAGGCACCCGGCGCCGTCGCGGCGGGGTCGCCCTCGCCAGAGGCCGAGCTTGCGGAGAGGCCGTGCTGGCCTTCAAGTGCGCTCAGGTCGCCGCCGCCAAGGGCGCAGAGCGACGAGAGCGATTTTTCTCCGCTCCCGCAGCCCCCGACGCCGCTGTTCGCTGCAGCCCACGGCTTTAGGTTGGCCGATAACTTGAGGGCGTCTTTGATGGAGCCAGGTACGGAGTAGGTGATCTTTCAGGCATCGATTGCATTGCGACGCAGTGCGTGGGAGAGGCCCCTCAGCTCGCCCGACTCTGATTTGACAATAAATGGGCGTGAGCTGCAGTGTTGCGCAGACCCGCGCGAGGCCTCACCTTGTCTCGGCGCCAGCTTTTCGCGCAGAGCTGGCCCAGCCCGCATGGATCAAGAGCACGGCGAAGAAGAGGAGGAGGAGGAGGAGGAGGAGGAGGGAGGTCTCTCTTGAATCTTTTGGAAGCGTTTGATTTTACCAGTCGCTCAAGAGCGCCTGGCAGCAGTAGATGAAAATAGGGGTCATCCTCGTCCTCATCCTGCTCCAACCCTCCTCGCCCTCCTAATGAACCATCCCCCACTATCTGAGTACCTCTCCACATCCTTTCTCCTCTCCTCTTCCTCGTCCTCCCCTCCGATCCTCGCCAACCAAGCTCCCTCAGAAAAGGCGGGCCAGTTGCAGACGCCCGCATGTTGATTGCTAAATGGGGGGTGGGTGGAGGAGGAGGTATAGACAATAGCAATGACGACGACGACGACGACGACGACGACGACGACGACGCTCCTTCTCCCCCTCCTCCTCGCTGCTGCCGCCCGTTTGCTCTCTCGCGCTTGCTTGGGGAAGACGTTCACCGCGCAGGCCAATGCTTCGCTGGGGCTCTCTGGAGCGGGGAGCGAGGGTGCCCCATATAATTCGGACCGCTGCGTAGCAGGGACATGGGAGGGAGGGTGGGTAGCACATGGGGCGGGGAGAATAAGGACAGAGCAAGAGGAGGATAAGGTCAAACATCCAGCATGAACATGCGAATTAAGATACATGAGTCGATGCTTCACGGGGGGGGGGAGAAACAATGCGCAACAAACATTAGAGGCGGACCAACATGAAACATACGACGCAACATGAAGCATACGCAGCACCCCGCACTTGCGGATAAGAGTGAGGGGGCGGCGGCGGGTGACGAAGCCCGTGCGTGGGCGAAGTGGCCCCATGCGTTGTTTCCCTCTACTGCCCCCAAGTATTGCCCCCATGTGCTGAATGCGTGCGTTGCCCCCCAGTACTGCCCCCATGTATTGCCCCAAACATTGCCCCCAAATATTGCCCTCAAGTATGTTCCCCTGCACCGCCTCCAGTAATTGCCCTCAAATACTGCCCCCAGAAGCCGAGCCCTCTATCCAGCCACGCGCGCGCAGGGAAGAAGTAACACCGTTCGGGCCCCGCGAGGCACACCCTCCCCCTCCTAACCTCGTAGCTGTTTTGGCCCTGCAAGTCCAATCACGAGGATTCCGAGCATCCAGCTTAATCAATCCATCAACACGCGATGTCGTGGGACACGCGCATGGGGACCGTTGACGGTGCGTTCGCAGCGGCTGGCACACCTCGCGGAGGCCCGCCGTCAGACAGGCAACCCGATAGCAACCCGCCGTGGTGGGACGAGTCGGGGGGAATCGAAGACTCCGACCCTCGTCATGGCAATTGTGCAGCCTCCGCGCACGGCCGCACTCGGGCCGTCGAGAAGCCGACCCTGACGCTTCCCGACTCGGCCGCTGAGCCGCTCGGCATGGCGGGCACTACTGGATGCCACCTGGCGACCGCGGCGGCCGCGGCCAGTGCATCGGATGACGTCGAGGTGATCAGCAGCGATGACGAGCCCTCGATGCTTGCCACCGCCACCGCTGCCAAACGTGAGCCCGAGGAGCCACACGGTGGCAGCCCAGCATCGGTCGAGGCCGCGGACTGGGCGGCGGCGGACGGGGCGGCAAGCCATGAGTCATGAGGGCGCGGCGCCACCCCAAGCGGAGGCGGTGCCACCAACGCCAGCCAGCAGCGTGCCAGCAACGCCAGCCAACAAGCTTGCCAGCAACGTCGGCCACTGCGAGCAGCCCGTGGCCGTTGACTTCGGTAAGGAGTTCGGGGACATGCCACCAGATGCCGCCAAGTTCATCAAGTGTCTCGGCATGGATGCGACGCGTCAGTTTGAGTTTCCCGATGGGTCCCGCGACCTCGAGGGCAGCCTGTGCCTGATCTTCAACAGTGCCAAAGATACTTGGACGGCTGAGGGCATCTGCGAGCAGACAACCCCATTGTCGAAGGGCGTTAACCCTGCGGCGCAGACTCCCGACAAGAGTGCAGCCCCTCCAGATGACCCAATCCTCGAGGCAGCCGCGGCGAGTGGCTTTAAGTGTTCCACCAAGTCGACCATGGGGCAGCGCTTCACCCGCTGGTTCGCGAACCAGCCTGCCAAGTACAAGAGGGACTATACCAAGTCACTTAACGATGAGAAGGCCAGGCAGGGGGAAACATTGGGGAACGATGAGCAGGATGATAATTAAGAGGAAGAGGGGGTGAGGAGGAGGGCAGGGAGAAGGAGGATGATGATGAGGAGGAGGCGGAGGATAGACCCCCTCGCCTCTGGCAGGCTAACTTCAGGGCGGACTTCGCGAGGAAGAAGTACGACGAGTACGTGAGAACCCGCACCTTCATGCAGGAGTACAGCCAGACCCAGAAGGAGTGGGGCACCTGGGAGCCCTTCGACATGCTCATCAAGCTTCAGGGAGGGAGGCATTCGCACGATGCAGTACGTGCCGCTTGGAACTACGCCAGGTGGTGCATCGAGCTCGGCTCCGAGTGGGTTCAGTGCAACCCCATGACTGGTCGCATTGAGTTCATGTTCGTGAAGCGCGGCTACGAGGACAAGATGAAGAAGGCCTGGACGCTGAAAACGATCGAGTCGGCAAAGAAGGGGAACACTAGTGAACTCGAGAGGCGCAAACTTTGCCATGGGCACTTGGACAAGCAGGCCCTGGAGGCATGTTTCTTGAAGCAAGGCCGCATGAACGTCGATCGTCGCCAGGGCGGCGGCGGCGACAGCAAGGGCTCCGAGCAGATGGCGGCATCCGGGAGCCAAGCGGCGGCATCAGGGAGCCAAGCGGCGGCGGCGGCGCCCGCCCCGCCGACTGATGGCGCAGGTGCAGGCGTGGCCGAGGCCACGGGCGAGCACGAGAATCTCGACAACAAGGTCAAGAACGTGCGCCCAAAGAAATGCATCGTGGCTCTGGCTCCTGGCGTTGGCGGGCCGAGTGATGGAATCGAGCCAACGGGGGATGATGGTGATGAGGAGCCTGGCACTGGTGATGAGCCTCCCGCCAAGAAGCAGAAGAAGGTTCTGACGCCTGATCAGGTTGCCAAGAGAGTGGAGGCCAAGCGTAAGAAGGATGCGCAGGCCGCGGCCATCGCCAGCAAGAACCAGCACTCCAAGAGTATCCTGCATGCGACGCGGCTGGAGAAGTTGATCGAGGCTGACCCGAACTGGAAGCCCTTCAAGAACCACGAGGACCACATCCTGCTGAAGCAGAGCATCCATGCTTTGGAGACCCTCGTGGAGTCCAACCCGTTCCTCAAAGTCTTCCTGAGCACTGCGGAGGTTTCGGAGGTCAAGGACCGCTACGACGGCGACGTCGACGTCGGCCTCTTCCAGGTGCCTGCGTTGCTCGATGCGCTCGTGAAGGATGTTGCTGCCAACGTGCAGTGCTTGGCGGGGCAGAAGGCTGCCCGCGCGAAGCATAGGCCAGCCTAGGTTTCCCGTTCAAGAGTTCTGGGCAAGAGGGGGGCAGTCGATCAGAGCGGGAGTAACTCTCGAGCAGGTCCTGCTCCAACTCATCGGCCCACTTCGGCCCGCCTTGAGCCATAAGGAGATCGCTGTAAGGAGGATGAGAGTAAGGAGGATGAGAAGTAGATTCAGGACCGAGGGGGCAGGAACGGCAGAAGCGGGGGAGGAGGGGGACGAGGAGGGGGACGAGGAGGGTCAGTCTAAGTCAAGATGCCCAAATCGCCAAAATAGTTTGACCGAACAACGATTTGCAATTGAAAACCCCAAAAAACATAAGCGACCCGGCCTCCCCCCCCCGAAAACCTACCGATAACCTTCCGATAACCTTCCGATAACCTTCCGATAACCCCCCGATAACCCACCCCACCAAACCATATATATATATATATATGAAAAAAACGACAGCCAAACGCCCGATAACCTACCGATGACCTTCCGACTACCTTCCGATAACCTTCCGATGACCTTCCGATGACCCCCTGGACGAGCCCGAGAACCCCTCCAGACCAGAATTTCCAGCTCCAAGCCAGGCAGGCTGCGCCGAAATTGAAATTGCATGCCCCGGCCTCAACCGAGTTGGGTTCAGACAAAGGGGGGCCGAGGATGTCGAATCGCTTCGGCGGCTCTGTGATTTTGCGACTCTCGAGCTCGCGCTGGGAGCGCCAGGTAGTGGTTTCAATTGTCCTACGCAGTGCTTTTATACACCCTCCATTCTCTCCGCTCCTCCCCTGGGGTCGCACCTCCAACTGTAATGGTCAGAGCTCCTGGCGGGGGAATCTAGTTTGCCCGCGCGAGCGCGTCTTCTCCTGCGTCGCGCACAACGCTTCGCAGCCCTCACACCGCCACACTCCCTCCAACCTCGCCCTCCACTCCAGTCCCTCGCTTCACCTAACTTTGAATTCGTGAGTTGGCCGAATGTGCATCGACGCTATTGTTTGAAATACTTGAGTTATGGGAATCAGACACTTCCGATGTGAAAACTATCGCGAGGTGTGGGCGTCTCTCAGGAGGGGCATGTTTCATCGGGCCAATGATATCATCATCTAAGAGAGGGTTCGGGGATCAACGTTGTTAGACAGGTCGGGGGGGAAGGGCCCCCTCGGGAAGAATGGTCTTCCGATCCTATCCCAGTCCTCTTTCTCCCCCACTCCTCCCAACCCCACCCCTACACCACCCCCCTCGCCCTCCCCCTCCTACTCCTCCCCTCCGCCTCGCGCGCCGCTGCCCGCCCCAGCCCGATACGTCGGGGACATCTTCACTGCGCAGGCCTATCCGTGCCAGGGGGCGCGACCGTGCTTGCTCAGCGCTCCAGCAGAGAAGGATGTGGAGTATGCGGAGTATGCGGAGTATGCGGAGGAGGAGGGGGAGGAGGAGAAAGGGGAGCAGGAACATGAGGGGGAGGGACAGGAGAAGGATGAGGTGGTGGGACTGGGACCCTTGACCAGACGCATGTAGCATACGAGCACACCATAAGGCTCGACCCCTACCATTTTGAAGCAGGTTGGAAATGGGAGGAGGCGAAACAACACTAACACAGCACACTCTAGCAACAACCACGCAGCACACACCAGCATCATAAATCACACAGCGCACACCATCAACAACAGTCACAGCTCACACCAGCAGCAAGCATTACAACACCCACCAAACAACAAACATCACGCATAACACACCATCAACAACGGTTAAGCAGCGCACACCAACACCGACGCGTCACACAGCACACACCAGAAATAGATACCACGCAACACACACAACCACCACCACACATCCCACACACCGTACACCGACAACAAAACAAACACAGCGCGGCACCCGGGCACCTCGGCCCGCGAGCTTACGTTGCACCCCCCCCTCCGCCTCTCCTCATTCCTCCCCCCCCCGATGGGAGTGGGAGGGTTCGCGCCCAGCGGCGAGGCGAGTCGGCGCCCCCGCGTCTTGGGCCCCGCGCGCTTGCCCGCGCGAGGAGTTGCGAATGGGGAGACTCCTCTTCATCCTCCTCATCCTGGGGACTTATGTGTTTGATGTAGTTTTTGAGAATGGCATGTTGGTAATGCCTTATACTGAGGATCCAGAGTTTGAGCTTCCTGCTAATATGCTATGATGTGCAACAGTGTGGGCACGCCCCTACTACTGCAACATGTCATATGGGACATGCACAACATCTGTATCACATTTGGAGCTGAGGTCACGTGCTGATCAAGATCCCTCCAGAGACCCCAAGACGTCCCAGTGCGCCCTTAATGTGCCCCCAATATGGCTTCCAACTGGCCTCTATGACGGCCCCGAAGCGGCCCTGAGACGGCCCAAGATCGCCCTGAGACGGCCCAAACACTCCAAGAGTGCCCCCAGACAACCGCATGGCCCTCCAAAGCAACCCTGGGACACCTGGGCACCAAACTGGCCCCTCGAGGATCCCTCTCCCATTACCCTCCTCCTCTTCCTTTTTTTGTTTCCGTAGCTGCGTTGGCTCGAGAAACTCTGTCAACGTTCGTTGCCTGTTCCACGTTCCATGCCAACGAAGCGCAATCGATCCCAGTCACCCGTCGTCAGGCGGCCATGGGAGGACATCGACCAGATTGCATCTGACGCTGGAGAAGCTCTGAAGCGCGAGGAAGCTGGACAATCACTCCTCGAGCACCTCATGCTGCAGTACGCGTCGGGCTCGATGTCCGCGAAGGATTTCTGCGTCGCCTGTCACTTTGCCAGGGAATCGGGCCCCGAAGGCGATTGGGACAAGTATGCGAAAGCACCTGGCGGCCAGACAGGGAGTTACCAAAAAAAAAAAAAACTGAACCGCGTGCTTGAGAGGACACCTTCTGTGAGGACCTGCGATATCAAAGTTCCAGTGTTCGGATTTCGCCACGGGCGGGGGGGGGCAATCATCCCGTTCAAGCCCCCGCATGAAGTGCTGGCGGCAGAGATCGAGGCCGACCCCAATTACCTCGACACGAAGTGCGAAGGGCCCGAGAGCTTGGAATGGGCAGACGCTTACAACAATCACCCTGGTGTGAAGAGAGCGCTCGAGGCAGGGGGGCGCCCTGCGCCAGCTGCGCTTTATTTGGACGGTTTTCGGTTCACAAAAAGTATCGGCGCTGGGAAAGCCGACTCAGCAGTTGCATTCTATTGTTATCTCACCACTACGAAAAAAAAAAACGGCATTACTTGGGATGTATCCGAAAGTCGGAGTGGTGCCGCTGCGGATGCAGAGGCTGGTGCACAATCTATCAAGCGATGGCATTCTTAGCGTGGTCATTCGACCACGGGAACAAGGGGGCGCGCCCTGTCCTGAGGCACGACGGTTCGCAGTGGGACGACGCAGAATGGTATGGCCAGCTCGCCGCGGCCAAGCCAGATCTTCCAGCGAGACTGTGTTTGGTGCAAATAAAAGGGGATTGGGCTGAGTGGGTCGGGACGCTCGGCTTTCCGTCTTGGTCGACAAAGTATGTGCCATGCATTGTGTGCCAGTGCCGTAAAGAGAACATGTATGATTTTTCTGGAGTGTCGCTGCTAGGAACTGAGTGGGGAGATCGTTCTGAGATAACTTACGATCAGCTTGCGTCATCGTGCGAGATTACAGTGGACGTTGACACGCCAGAACGTCTCGCCTTGATTGTGGGGTCTCTCCGCTGGTTGAAGAGCAAA